ATATCCTATACAATCCAACCGGCTGCAATACAACCAGTTTCATCCGTCCTCATCTGGTCAGATCGACCAACGAATCTCTTCTTCATGCACTTTCATACGAATTGAAGGTCCCTTTAACAATGTTATCTCAGGAGATTCATCGAAACCCAGTTTCTCTTCGTATCTAGAAAAATATAATTTAGTAGTCAATCAAGTACAGCCGAGCGACTGTGTCGGCAATTTATTTTAAAAACTCCATTTGGCATGCATCACCGATTTTCTCAATAAATTAGTTGAGTAAATATGCCATTTTAAAAAGTACTGTGAATACATCTCATATTACTGATTTACTGGTAGTCACGAAAACAATAATTAATTCGAAAATTACCTGTACTAAGTCATGAATAATAGTGCAATCTGTCTCGAATTCCCCTTGGGGTGGGGGATGGGGACTGAGCTCGAGTCTGCAGTCTGCCTTGGACACGAGAACCTTTTGGTAGGCAGGGTTGAGTGAGCTTCAATGGTATCATTTGGGGAAAAGCTCCGTTTCCAGTTTTCTTCCCATAAGAGCTGTATTTATGCTTTTGCATTTAACGCAATGAAGAACTGGTAGTTGCATTTTTGCTCATGTTTCAATTGAGCTTCGCAAAACTTTGTCTCGCAACAGCCATTCTCATCCAGGCTGGATTGCAGCTTCGACATTCGTCGACTATCCCACCACACAATGTGGTACGCGAATAGCCTAGGCTCGCTTGAAGTTCACTTCTGTCTTGTGACTCAAAAGTACTCGTGTCAGTGTCACATAATGGTTGAATTGTCGAGATTATAGGCCGCACCGCAACAATGTGGATTTGAGTCCCGCTGGGGACGCTGTTGGGACCGAGGCGAGATCGAAACTGCAGTCCACCTTGGAGGAGTATAGCTTTTGCGAAGAAAGTTTATGTGATATTTAATGGCCTACTCACATGCTTGTGGAAAAATGCAATTACCTCCATCTCCTTAAACTAAATAGGATGAACACAATTCTTATTTTAAGACCTACTGCCAGTTTGGACAGCCTACCTCCGAAATGGAAAATACGTTCTCACTCAAAGAGTTACTGATAGACTCGATATTTGTTAACTTGTATGGCAGACAAAGATTCATACCGTTTTTACCCTAATCGACGGAGGACGGCCAAAAGTTATTGTCAAGTCGAATGAGAGCCAAGCAACGGCAATCATCGCATGTCAGGCATTTTTATATTGACAACAACAAATGACTGCTTCGAAATTGTCACTAAGTCTGTACTAAGCGTTCTGAGTCACCATGGCTCGCTTAAAGTGATGATAGTGTAATTTCTAGCAAATATGAGTAACATCCTTGACTCTAACTGTAGCTGCAAGTTTGTTTACTTGCCATTTGAGTCATATTTGTTCTAATTGTGGCCAAGTGAGAATTTCGATTGGGCGATGTGGGCAACCTGACACCTCGAGTCGGTTTTGAGTCCCGGTGTTGGTACTGCTGAACTCCAAGCAGGGCCAAGAAATTATTCTGCAACTCAATGCCTTGTAACATTGGCTGGCGTCGTGAGACCTCTTCGATTGATTGTTGCCTGCCTCACCTTAAACGACCCAATCTGATAATGTTGCTAATTTGGAGATTTTGCTATTTTAGTATTCGTCAAAATATCAGCTTGTGTTGTACCATTTTCCCGTCTTTTCGGCTCCGATCTCTCTCTCTCTCTCTTCTCTCCTGAATGTTTGCGTGTATGTGTATCCTCCTGCCTGTTTACCTGTCTGCTCGTCTTCCATCTCCGCCACCTCTACTCCACGATCGTGTAGCTTGTTGTCCACCGCAGGTCAATGGGTCAGGCTGTAGAGGCCAGCACAGCAGATGTCTCTGGTTCACCTGCAGCATCTGCAGCACCTTCAGTTCTGCCGAAGCCGAGTCATGCTCTGCGTCATTGTCATTTACTGAACCAACAACAACGTCTACAACAACAACAACAACAGCAGCAGCAGCAGCATTACTCTTCGAAGTTACAGGCGCCAAGTTTGATGCAGCAAGTCGGAGATGTTGAGCTAGGCTCTAGCCTCGGTTCTGGATTGCAGGCTCCTGCGTCGACAGACAACGAATGTGATGATTCCTCTTCGCCTTTATTGGCGTTACTCAGATTGCGGTCGGGAAATCCGTTTCTCGGTGAGTTGCTGTCATTCTCTACTTCACAACCACACTGATTCATTTTGTTCTCCTCCCACATCAAAGCTTTGTGTATAGAACTGAAATGGCCAGTTTGGCTCGGCGGCTTTCATCTTGCCTTTTGGAACTAAAAAAAGTGGGAAATTTTTATCCTCAAACTTTCTGGCATCATTAATTACTTTATAGGCATTCTCGTATGATTGTTAATCTTCCCACGATCAAATGAGTAGGCTTCATGATGCCATTCAATTTAATTTCACATAGAGGTTGTTTGACCTTGTTTTCGCAACTCCGTCATATTGGCAGGAAGAATTAGAATAACGCACCTAGTGTGGGGTCCATTGTCTGCCTGATCATTTCCAAAGTTGAACCGTGGATGTGGTACATTCCCAAACGTTTCGCCGGCGTCGTTAGTGAGTCTCGCCATTC